TTCCTTTTCCTTTGAAGTGTTCTCACCCAAGGATCGATGGATTATAGGGTTTCTTTAATGGTGTAAGAGTTTTACATGAAAAAATAAATTCTGAGGTCATGTGTGATATGGTGACCATTGTCAAATTTACCGAGGCAAATCTAATCATATAATTGAAGTGATCATTCTCAGCACAGGAAATGACATTGGTTTTCTAGCTAATTTTTTTTAATCTAAGCTGCCTAATGTGGTTGCAGACACCGAAAATCTGAAGCAACAGTATAACACAATAGTCTGGCTCCTTTGGATGTGGATGAGTAGCAGCTCTACTCTGAGCCCCTTCCCAATGGCCGAACACCTCACCCTATCTCTAAGGGTGAGGACAGCCACCCTTCACAGATTGTTTTCGGGATCTCATTCTTTCATGACCATAGGTGAGGGTAGAGACATAGATCAACTGGTAAATTGAGAGCTTTGCTTTTATGCTCAGCTCTCTCTTCATCACAACTGACTGGTACACTGTCCACATCGCTACAGCCATGGCACCAGTCTGTTTGTTGATCTCCCACTCCCCTGTCCTGAGATACCTAAACTCCTCTACATGGGCAAAAATTTATCCCTGACTTGTAGTAGGCACTCCAGCCTTTTCCAGCTGAGGACCTTGGCCTCAGACTAGGAGGTGCCAGTTCTCATTCTTGTCGTTTCACACTCAGCTGCAAACTTCTCCAGTGCCAGCTCGAGGCCACTGCCTGATGAAGCCAAAACAACCAAATCATCTGAGGCAGAGATAAGATTCTGAGACTGTCCAAGAGCCTTAATCTTAATCTTCTTGGCTAAGCCTAGAAATTCTATGCATAAAAATTATGAACAGAATCAGTTGAATTTAGCAGTTACAGTTCCATTATCAATATAACTTTATTGATTATTGATTTACAGAGATGAGGTGTTGCATCATGTGAGGTGTGTCAAATTTGGTGTAATATGATGTGCTCTGGACTTTAGCACCAGACAAGCAGAAAACTTCAGTAAGTAAAAGGACACTGCATTGTTTCCAGCTGTCAAGTCAAACCCTTTTCATAGTTCTGTCAAAAAGGCATCTGGTGTGAGAGTCTGCCAAATCAAACATGCAGAGCTGC